CTCTCCTGCCCACTCCCCTTCCCCGCAGTCCCACAGGTGAGAAGCAGAGCATGTCACCTGCAGTGGTGGGGGAGGGGGGTGCCTTCTAAAAGGGCCACCAGGGCTTCTGCTGCTACTCCCTCCTCTCCCTGTAGGAACAAGGAGGGTCTGGAACAATGTGTCTCCTTTCACGGCACCTGTAAAAATTCAAGCACATAAAAACAGAGTTTTTAACAGTTACACCTGACATGCAACAAATTTGAAACTCCCTCTTAGTATTCGAGCAGGATATTCTCACTTTTAACCTAGTCTTTGGCGGTAAGGGAGCAATGAGGAATACTGAACACCTGCCAGGTGCCCTGCTCCATGCTGAGTCTAACTGGATACAGCCCCTGCCTCCAGGAGGCACCAGCTAATGGCGACAGGGAGAGGAGGGAGCTGGGAGGAAGGCCTGGAGGTGGGGGCAGAAGGGTGCAGGCCCGGCTGGGGTAGCCTCTCCCGTGGCTTCCAGGTGTGGTGATGCTGTTCTCACCTGCGATGCCTCTTGCAGGAGGCACCCATCTCTTCCCCAGAGATGTGCAGTCACTTCAGCCCACCTGTCTGTGGGCTCTCTTCCTCCCTCTCGGTGGTTTCTTGTAGGTGGGTTTCACCCGCCCAATTACCCTGAGCCCCAGAAAGAGGGCCAGGCAGGGAGGGGTTCAGGGTGGGTTCTTGATGGTAAGATGGGCCAAGGGACCCAAGGCAGGAGTTAGCAGCTCCCCCTCATCCTGGAGCTTTGGTTGACTGGGGCTCATCCAGGACCAGAGAGGACAGGCAATGCAGAATGGCCCGACTGGGAAGAAAGGAGGGTGAGGACTGGCAGGATAGGGGGTGGGGGGTGGATTTCAGCCCGCTGAGCTAACCCTGGGGCGGGAGCTGTGCAGAGTACTCCACTTCCCCTCATCCACCCACCTCTGGGAGGATGGTGTGTCTCACACTGCTTCAGACAGGGACCTCCAGGGCTGGCCTGCGAGAGAGACTTGATCAGTGTGGGTCAGGACCCTGGGGTTTCTTGAGTCTCAGAGCACATACTCCTGGCTGTCTGTGCTATGGAGCCTGCAATCAACAGGAAGTGAGTCCAGGGTGAGGGGAGGCCATGTGGTTGGTCCCCAGGCAGGAAGTGAATGACAGTGGAGTAGTCTCGAGCAGCTTTGTGGGGCCAGGAGCCTGTCCCAACTTGAGGTGTCTGTGGGGCAGCAAGTAGCTAGAGGACAGGAGGACACGGTCATGGTAAGATTGGCTCTGACCCAAATTTCTCAGCCCAAGTTGGCCAGCGGAACCCCCATACCCACCTCCCTGGGAGTGCCACATTCGGGGCTCTGTGGTGTCTGGGGCAGCCAGACCTGGGGGTGGCTGTGGGGCCCAGTGTGCCCCACTCTTCAGGCTGCCTGGGCCATCTGACTTTCTCACACCCACGAGAAAGCCTCGAGGGGTGAGAGGATGTAGCCAGGGAGGGGCACCCTCGGCCAGGGACCCCTGCTGGTTTGAGCAGGGAGGTGGGAAAGACCCTTAGACAGGGCGTGTGGGTCCTACCATGTGGGGATGGTGGCTAAGGAGAGAGACGGGGCCTTCGTGCTCCACTAGCATCCCTGTGTTTGACCTCCTGGCTGTGCCGGCGTTGAGCCTCAGTGCCCAAGCCTAGAGGAGGAATTCTCGCTTCTGTAGAGGCCTCTTCTTCCTCTTGCTGTGGCCTCCCTCCACCCCCAACGGCTGAGGACTCCACACATTTGCAGCTTTCCATGGGAGTTTCTCTTCCTGGAAGAAGGCCTGCCCCAGGCCACCCCTTGCAGCCAGTTGAACAGCTTGGCAAGGGCCCTGGAGACCCCTCTGCTGGTCCTCATGCTGTTCCATGTGCCTGCAGCCCTGTCCAGGGAAGACTGTGGTATTGTTCTGTCTTGTTTTGTTTTGTTTTGTTTGTTTTGTTTTTTCCTCATAGCCTTATCTGTGTTTGCTGCCTCTGGGGGTTTCTTACCAGATAACAGCAGGCTCAGAGTTGAGGTCATAGACCCTTGCAGGAGAAGCAGCCTTGGAGACCACCGGGCTGTGCAGAGAAGGCCTGGGGAGACCAGCGCTCTCTCAGGCCATTGGGATGCACTTGAGGAGTACAGCTCTTTGGAGGGATTTTGGCTGTTTCTCCTCACGCTTATATGGGTAGGCCCTCCACCGCAGTCAGTCCACTTCTGGGACTCCGGCCTACAGAAATGCACAGGTGCACAGAGCCCAAAGTACAAGGGTTCACGGCAGCGGAAAGGCCCACAACTAGGGAACTGTGGGAATAACTTCTGGAGCGCCCACCTGAGAGAGTGCTGAGCGGCTGTGACACAGAATCAGACAGACCCATAAGCACGGGGATGGAGAGAGGCCCACTCTGCTTGTTAAGTGAAAAAGCAAGTGGCAGAACAGGATGAGTAGCACGATATCCTTTTAGAAAAAAAATTCTGGATGTGTGTGTGAATACATATGTATAATCACGTAACTTACATGTGATGATAGGTGCGTAGGAAACTAGTCTAGAAAAGATACTTGCCAAACTGTTATTAATGATTTACCTATGGGCAGTGATTTTGATGGTAGGGAATTGAAATAAGAGCTTTAACCTTTTTTTTTTTAAAGATTTTATTGGGGAGTTGGGGGAGGGGAAGAGTGCTGGGGAATCGGGGGAAGGGGAACAGACAAGTTGCTGTTGTTTTGTTCTTCAGTCTAGTTGTGGAGGATGTTGCTTCACTGGCCCAAGCTGGCACCATCATTGCGCTCTTCCTGGGTGAGGCAGATCAGTTGCCAGCCTCTGGACGGCCGCTCACTGCGGCTGCTGGATGCTCACGCTGGCTGCTGGCTACACACGGTAGCCCATGGCAACCCACTGCAGCAGGGGCTGCAATCTACGGAGTCGCCGGCAACCCACAGCAGCCCAGCTCCAGGTTGAGCTGTAGTTCAGCATCTTAGCTGTAGAGGGCAGTGTCATTGGCCCTCATATGTGGGATCCGAACCGGGGCCCTCTGGCGTCCCAAGCCAGTTCTTAACCAACGCACCACTCGGCTGGCCCAGAGCTTTAACCTTTTAACACTACCCATTTTTGTGTGGTTTGAATTTTTGAAACATATGTGTCTAAATTTTATAAATAGAAAAAGAAGGTGGTGACCAGTTAGCTTAGTTGGTTAGAGTGTAGTGCTGATAACACCAAGGTTGCTGGTTCGACCCCCGCATGGGCCACTGTGAGCTGCCCTCTCCCTAAAAAGAATTCACTATGCCATTGTAGCATACAAGCAATGTGTGACCAATGACCATGGCTGTCCCCCAATAAAATTTAAAATAAAAAAGAAAAGAAGGAAAACACCTCTATTGGACCAGCCTAGTCATCTCACCTCACAGGTGGGAAAACTGAGGCGCCCTCTTGGGCAGCACCCTACCTGAGGTTGCAGGCCAGCAGGGTGTCTGCTGAGTGGATACTGCCTGGCCCTTCAGGGGGCAGGCATTCTGCAGACGTAGCCAGCTGGCAGAGATGCCAAGGGCAGCCTGCTGCCTGTAGGTGTGGCAGAGCACCGAGCACAGGGGGTACTTCCATTCCTTCTGCGGTATCCTGGCCTACTTGCCCTCCGATGGCCAAGGATGAAGTGCTCTCCAGGCTCTCCTGCACTCACTCTGCCCTCACAAAGTGTGTGACCTAGAGCCTCCCAGGGAGGTCGAGTGGCCCTAAAGCGGGAATGGGTGACAAGAAGCTTTGCCCATGCTGCAGTGACACTTATGAAGGACAGTCATGATCACTCTTGTGATTCGTGTAGCAAGTTCAATTCCTAGATTCTTGGGCACAAAGCACCGTTTTCTTTTGGAGGGGGAACCTGGGACCATGTGCTAGGGAGGGGCGTGCTGCAGACTGCAAAAAAGGTTCTTGCTGGGACCTTGGCTGTCATGGGGTCTGAGCACCTGGGACAACGTGTAGGGACCAAAGCTGAGAGAAAGAATGGCACTGGGCTTCAGGGCCCAGAGGAACCCTTCTTGGAGAGGCCCCCTTGAACCCCCAAACTCTGGAATCTCATGATTATTTGTGTTTGGGCCTTGAGAGACGTAGAGAAGAACTAGGAGGACTCTGACACAGGCGTCAGGTCAGCCCAGGGTTACTAGAATCTTCTGAGGAGGGGTCCTGATTAGAAGTAGGGATAGCACAAGGAGCACTTGTTTTAAATAGGGGTTGCAGAAGGTTGGGAAGCCCTGTGTCACCTCAGTGAGCATGTGTGTGGGGGTGCGTCATGGGCAGGGGAGCCGGGCTGGCAAACCTGGTTGGATTCTTCTCCCATTTCTTAAGTGGGAGTCCATAGACCCCTTGACTTCAGGCCCACGAACCCCTTGAAACTGAGAGCAAAACTGTGAGTGTATGGGGCTGGCCGAGTGGCGCATTGGTTAAGAGCTGGCTTGGGACGCCAGAGAGCACCGGTTCGGATCCCACATATGAGGGCCAGTGACACTGCCCTCCACAGCTAAGATGCTGAACAACAGCTCAACCTGGAGCTGGGCTGCCGGGAGTCGCCGGCGATGGTGTAGGCTGCAGCCCCTGCTGCAGTGGATTGCCATGAGCTACCATGTGTAGCCAGCAGCCAGCGTGAACAGCTAGCGTGAACAGCCAGCAGCCGCCGTGAGCGGCCATCCAGAAGCCGGCGACTGATCTGCGTCGCCTGGGAAAAGTGCAATGATGGTGCCAGCTTGGGCCAGTGAAGCAACATCCTCCACAACTAGACTGAAGAATGAAAGGGTAGCAACTTGTCTGTTCCCCTTCCCCCAATTCCCCAATAAAAGTCTTTAAAAAAAACAAAACAAAACAAAACAAAACTGTGAGTGTATGAACATCATGCAACATTGCATGAACGTTTATGTGTACACAGTGTTCTGGACAAAGAGTTCATCACTTTCACCAGAATTTCAGAGGGATCAGTGATCCAAAAGAGGCCAAAACCACTGGTCTAACCCTCTCCCGTGTTTCTTCTTTCAAGGTGGAAAGCAGTGACACGCCGAAGGACCCCGCGGTGACCTCCAAGTCCCCGTCCATGGCCCAGGACTCGGGCCCCTCAGAGCTGTTACCCAATGGGGACTTGGAGAAGCGGAGTGAGCCCCAGCCAGAGGAAGGGAGCCCCGCTGCGGGGCAGAAGGGCGGGGCCCCAGCAGAAGGAGAGGGTGCAGCCGAGACCCCGCCCGAAGCCTCCAGAGCTGTGGAGAATGGCTGCTGCACCCCCAAGGACGGCCGAGGGGCCACCACAGAAGAAGGTGAGTCCCTGGGTCAAGGGGCAGCCTCTTTCGGACATGCCTGAGGGTGAAAGACAAGGGGCCTAGCGGGTTCCTGGAGTCCAGCGTGGGCTGGGCATGGCAGCTGAAGGTCTCCTTGCCCAGGCAGTGCCCTGGAGGCTGCTGGCTGGATGCAGCCTGCACATGGGGCTTATTTGGCCCGCTTGGCCTGCGTAGCATTTGAAACATTTAAAAACATTAGTTGCCAATATTTAAAAATCAAGACATTTCACATAAAGATCTGGAGTTTTGGCTTCTGGTGAAAAAAATAAACTAGATCTCTGGCAACAGTGGGTTTGCAGAATGCCAATGGCTGCTGGACTGGGGTGATGGCTGCCCCACAGCCCGCTACCACATCCCACCCCCTCCACCCCCCAGGCTGGTCGTGCACCTCTGTTTCCCTCAGCCCCACCTGGCCTGTAAGACCTGCGGCTCTTAGGGATAGCTGTTTGTCGCCCCTGGCCTGGGTGCCTGAGGACAGCAGGTGCCCCTGTGGGCGTTAGAGGCTCAGTGAGCCTTCCCCAGGACAGACGTCCAGAGCCCACCACCGTTTCGTTGACTGGACTAAACTGGTTGTGACAGAGTGGGGTGGGGGAGGGGCGGGTGGTCCGTGCACTGCCCAACCCCGGCCTCTTCTTCCTCCCGGGACTTCTTGGCCTAGCCCTGGAGTCCTGGAAAGTTGCCCACTTTTCTCTTTCAGGTTAAGCCAGCAATTTCAGGGCCAAGCGAGCTGTAAACATGTTAGTAATGAGCACAAGTAGCATTTGTACAGGGCTTCACAGTTTACAAAGCACTTTCTCATACATTATCGCATTTGATCCTCCCAGGGCCCTGCCAGGTTGTTTTACATATGTGCATTTTAATTTCAGAAGGTCTTCCTTCCAAGTGTGTATGATGGAATGAGTAAATTGATTAATTGGCATAACTCATTTTGCGTGGATCCAAACCTAGTATTCAGGCAGGATCAAGAACATCTCCAGAAAAAAGATTTCCAAATTTATTTAAAAATATCTTTTATGCATTTTTTATTCAACTGATATTTATGATGCTCCCATTATGTACAAAGCGCTTTCTGAGGTCTTCTGTGTTGATTGTTTTACTCCTCCAAACAGTCTTCTTCGAGAGGTATTATTATCCCCATTGTCAGGTGGGGGAAAAACAACAACTGAGGTTTGACGAGATGAAGTGACTTGCTCAGGGACTCCAAGCCCCTAAGTGGCAGATCCAGGATTTATTCCATCCTGGTTTCTGAGTCGGTATGCCCTTCCACTCGCCCCTTTATTCTGCAGTGGGGCTCTGGAGGGCTGGCCCTGAGCTGTCCAGAGCTCCTAGCCTCACCTGAGCGCCTCCTGGGATGTGTCCTGACACTTGGTGGGAGTGTCCAAGGGGCCTGAATGGAGTAACACAGAGGAGAAAAGAGAGAAGATACCATCCTCCTGTTACAAAGCCCTGCTGTACAAGAACAGACCCTGTCAGCCTTTTCCACCAAATGCGCTGGTCCCCAGAGGCAGGTCTTGGTGGACTCCCAGCTTTCTGGGACCCCCACCACCAGTGGCACCCCGCTGCTGCCCAGGGTCCAGGCAGTGCTTCCTGGCTGGTAGGATGGAGCCATAGCGCCAAGGCTGCTCTTCACCCTTGAGGGTTTGCTTTCGGTTGGGGATTTCCCTCTCTCCATTTGTTTGTTCTCAGGAGCTCCTTCAGTCAGTCAACGAGTGTTTACTAAACACCCGTTTGGTCTGTGCCAGGATCTGGGGAAACCCTCATGAACAAAAACCTAGCTCTTCCCTCAAGGACCTCATAGTCAGCTGGAGAGATAGACATTGGTGAGAAACCCAACACTGAAAAGTGTGCGATTATACAGAGATAAGTTCTCTAGAAAATCAACACGGTCCTATGAGAAACTATAACAGAGGAACCTAGCTGGCCTGGGCTGTTCCACCTAAGCTGAAGGGTGAGCTAGGGTTCACCAGGTGAGGGGTGATGCAGGGAGGGAGGGAGAGTAAATAGAAAGGCTCCCAGGTGGGAGGGGGCAGGGCGCCCAGGGACCTGACAGAAACAAGGGAGGAGGGTGTGAGATGAGGGGAGAGCAGACAGGGGCCAGGGCAGGCTTTGAGGGTGACATGATGTGCTTTGCATTTTGAAAAGATTACTTTGCCATCTAGATCCTGGAGTGGAATGGTTGGAGGGGCCAGGAGGCAGGATGAGCAGTTAGGAGCTGCTGCAGGTGTCTTCTGAGGGGAGGGTGGCTCTGATGGCAGCAGAGAGGGAGAGAGACGGATGAGTGCCAAGGCCATGAGAGGACAGGGGAGAGATGATTCAAGGGTGACTCCGGCCTTGGGCGGATGTTTCTCAGAATCAGTGCTGGGCATGGCGGGCACAAACGCTCCAAGTCTTGTTGGTCTCCAAAGTTGGGCCTCAGAGCATTCCTGTGTGGCCGCAGCTATCCAGGCGGTGGAGATGCTGGCAGGGGTCAGAGCTGGTGCGCTCCCTGAAGGCTACTGTGAATTGCCCGATGCTGAGACTTGTGGGGTGTTACCTAGAGGGGTGGGCAGTGGGCCCCTGGAGGCTCAGCCATCATTCCAGCAGTCAGCCACATAGAACACATACTCAGCTGCTTGGTTCCCAGGAGGAAGGAGACGAAGGCCTCAGAGAGGAAGTGACTTGGCCGAGGCCTCCTCATTCTAGGTCTCTTTTCAGGGGACTCCATCTGTCTTTCCTGGATCCCCTTTCATTAGGTCTTACACAGGGGAAATGGAGGCCTTTAAGGCATGTTCCTGTGGCCTAGGCACCCTGCTGTGTGCACTGTAGGAGCCCCAGATCCTGACAGGACAGCCAGGACAAAGGAGGAGGAGCCGGGGAGAGGATGAGTAATCAGGGCAGAGCCACCTGGACAGGCAGGTGGTGGCCTTGGGAAGGCTCCTGCACCCCTAGCAGCAATGCCGTCATGATGTTAACAGTAACAGGGGCAGGGTGGTTTTCTTTTTACTGAATATTGACTTCGTGTTGAGTGTTCAGTATCCTCACTACTCAGAGTGGTCCACGCATCACCTGGCATCACCTGAGAAGCTAGGAATGCAGACTCTCAGGCTTCACCCCAGACCTACTGAATCAGAACGTACATGTGAAAGCGAGCCTCATGATTTCCATGCATGTTCAAGCCTGAGACTCCCAGCTCTGTATGTATTCCTTTCCTGAACCTGTGTGATCACGCAAGGAGGTCTCTTTTATCCCCGTTTTTCAGATGGGGAGACTGAGGGTTCAGAGAGAGTAAGTTACCTCCCCCAAGGTAATACAACTAGTAAAGGGCCAGATTAGGGTCAGCACTGAGCCCTTCTCTTCTCAGACTGAGCAGCCACTACTGGGCTAGTGACTGCCCTCTGGGACAAGCCTGGCCTTAGTCCTGCCACTGAGATTTAGGCTCATTTTAAAGGGAATTTGGGGTGGCTCCGTGCTGAGCAGAGTCTCAGACCAACAGGTAAGTGTTAGAAGCACCCTGGCTTCCACTGTCTCCAAGACCTGAGACGGCCCCAGGGTCATGTCCACGCCTGCCAGGGCCACCCTGGAATGCGCACAGCCACCTGGCCCTGCCTGTGACCCTGGGTCTGGGCCAGGAGCAGATGGACTGCAGAGGGAGTGTTGAGAGAACAGCTGACCCTCCTTGACTCAGGACAAGTGCAGCAATCTGAGGCAGCCCAGTTTGTTGTTTTGCTTGCCCAAGTGTGTGTATGATATCATGCAAGTGGGCATGCGCCGTCTGTCAGGGAGAAAATTCCAGAAAGAAAGCAGTTAGAAATTATATAAAGAAAAGTCATTCTGTTTTGGGGCGCATGAGAGGGGCCTGAGAATGGAAAGGGGGAACACCAAGAGAGTGCAGTATAAAGTGAGCTGTCTTCTAAAGTCTGGTGGTAAGTCACTCCAAACCCCGGGACCTGTTTCCCCATTGGCAAAATCTAGGGACTTGAGGAGTATTCCATCATCCTTACAATTCCCTTCAGCGCTGATTTTCTTTCATTTGAATGAACAAATGATTTCGCATAGATCAGATGCCACTGAAGGTCCCCAGTAGGGAATATTTGAGGTCCTAAGGACCTCCTGCTGCAGCCTGATCCGAGGGCAGGCGCCCCCTTCTGGCAGCACGAAGCCTGGTAGGGTAGAACTTGCTGGTTGTGGGTAGGGGTGGGGGGCCTCTGGGAGGAGGGAGGCCCCTGGCTGGTGGGAGGGGTAGCTTTGCCCTAAGAGGCCGGAGGAAAAGTTGGGGAGCTGGCAGTGGTGAGACGAGAGGGCCTAATGGAAATACGGAGGCAGAGACGGAGAAAGTCTGTGTGAGACGTACCTTGAAAGGCCTGTCAGGTACAAGCATCAGCGAGTATACACATGTACCCCCACATGCCCCCGCGACAGACACATGCGCTTCCTCCCCTCCTCCCCCGCTCCCCTCCGCAGCCATCTCGGCTCTTTGGGTGTGGCACGCTCCAAGTGTAGTCTCGGGAGTCCACTCATTCCAGGGCGCCCCCCGCAGGTGCTTGCCCTGCCTTCCAGCTCCCCCAGGGCTCCCGTCCTGTCCGCTGTAACCCAGAACTGCCCTGGTCCCTGCCTGGGGCAGATGCATAGAAGGGCCCCAGGTCTGCTCGGAGGGAAAGAAACATCCTCTCGCAGAGGCCTTCAGTGCTGGCGGGTTTCCGCTTCTGAACCGGGAGATGAAGCAGGGGCTGTTTTTTCCGTTTTTGGCTTTTTGTGTCCCCCTCCCCCAGTTACCATGAGCCAGCCGTAGTGACCTTCCCCCTTTGAGCCCAAGCTCAATACTCTTGGCTTCTGAGAAAGGAGTTGTGGGGTGGCAGGTAAGAGGAAGGCTCACTCCCCCTGACCTCCTGCAGAAAGTTCCAGAATGCATAATTAACCCAGCCCCACAGCTAGGGCAAGTGAGGACCCCCGAGAGGACCAGGGTAGGAGGGCAGCGGTATCCTGGAGGGATACGGCTGCCCTCCTGCTTAGGACAGGGAGGACAGGATGAGGATAAGGCTCCCCTAAAGACGGCCATGCTGGGGCTTCTGCCCCCAGGGGAGCCTCCCCACCCCCCCCCACCCCCAGGAACTGGAATCAGGGCCCAGCTGAGGAGCTGCAGGGAAGAGGAGCAGGAAACTGCTGCCTTGGGGAAGGGGGACAAAACTAACGTTTATTGAGCACCTACTACATGCCAAGTCCCACTCTAGGCACTTAATGTTCCCATTAACCTAAAGATTTTAGAAGGGTATCCACCATGATTCTGTCAGGAAACAGGCTAGGAGAGGTTACAGCTGTCACACGAAGACAGTTGGAATCCAAGCCTTCTAGAATGAAGGCTGAACTCAGGAACCTGAGAATGGGTTATAGAGGCAGATATTAATAATCGGACCACAATATTGAGAGCTCCAGGAGAAACTTAGAAGTCATCTCTAGCATCTTTATTTTCCAGATGAGGAAACTTAGTGTCATAGAGATGCTGCTGCTTCACTGAGTCTTGCTCCAGTCGCCCTGTGCCCCCGCCCCCCCCAGTGCTCCACACATAGGAGCAGATGCTCCACCCCAGGGCCTGGGGAGACTGTGACGTCTGGCCCCTCCTCTGAGAAGGGAGCTCTCTGGGAGGAACTGAGTGGGGCTATTTCCAGACGACCCCTTCTGCGTGCCCGAGACAGAGTTAATGACCCAGGAACCACAGCCCTGGCTTTTCTGTTGTCTGGATTTGGGCGTCCGGCCCTGCCCCAGCCCCTTCTCTGCCCTGGCCATGCTCTGAGTCCTCGGGGCCAGCATGGTGCCTGGCACATGGTGGGCCATCAGATTTGACACGTGAACAACCAAATGGTTGGAGGACCCCTGTCCCCACGGCAGGGATCCCAGGCACAAGGTGGGGGCCTCTGAGCCACTCCCGTAACTCTGCCGACAGTCCCTTTGTTCTTCCCTCTCCACAGGCAAAGAACAGAAGGAGACCAACATCGAATCCATGAAAATGGAGGCAAGTGTTTTCCTCAACCCCCAGGGGCTCTGTGGATCCTGATTCTAGGAGAAGAAAGCCACTGCTCTGATCAACTGTGGCGAGTGTGTGTGAGGGGAGCCCGAGGTGGCTCCTGTCCCCTTCTTTACACATCCCTCGGTGAGGAGAGGAAGTGGGTGTGGAGGTTGGAAGTCCTCCAAGGCAGCCATCTGGTCCCCCTCTGAGACCAAGCACCTCCCCCCTGGTTTATGTCCCCGTGTCACCCCCACCCCACTCCCTCGCTTCTCCAGCTCAGACAGGGGCTTGCCCAGCACTTGCAGGGTTGGCATCTCTGGCCAGGAGTCAGGGCTCCTGTGTTCTGTTTGAGGTGAGTGCCTCCTCAATTTCCCCTCCAGGAGGAACAAACCCTGCAGTGGGGCTGCCAGTGCCCATCTTAATGCCAGTCTGTCTCTGTCATTCTGTCCTAGGGCTCCCGGGGCCGGCTTCGGGGGGGCTTGGGCTGGGAGTCCAGCCTCCGCCAGCGGCCCATGCCGCGGCTCACCTTCCAGGCGGGGGACCCCTACTACATCAGCAAGCGCAAGCGGGACGAGTGGCTGGCACGCTGGAAAAGGGAGGTGAGGTGCCTTCTGGCCTGGGCCCCAGCCGGTCCCTTAGTGTCGGAAACCAGATGTTAGCTTCAGTCGCCCTCTGAGGCTGTTTGTTGTCAGGCCCTGGCTTAGCCTAAGTCTTCCCCTTCAGGTTAACCTCTCATACTTTCAGGGAACTGCTTAATCCCTAGGCAGTGACTGGTTCTTTTGTTCTTTCCACAAATGTTTATTGAATCCTTTCCGTGTGTCAGGTAGTATACTAGGCTCTGTGCATATGTAATTCCTTCCCTCATGGAGATGACATTCTGATGGGGGAGACGGACAGAAAACAAGTAAACAGGGGCTGAAAAAGCGGATAACAGAGGCCTGCTCTGGGCAGGGTACTCAGAAGAGGCTTCTTGGAGGAAGTGGCATTTAAGTGAAGGAATAGAAGAGCTGGCTCTGTGAGGAGCGAGGGGAAGTGGGTGGGAGAGAATGTTCTAGGCAGAGGAAACAGCACAAGCAAGGCCCTGACGTTTTAGGCAAAATGAAAGACCAGTGTGCCCAGAGTGCCATGAGCAAGGGAGAAAGTGTGGTCAGTCGAGGCTGGGAGATGCATAAGCAGGGTTCCAATCCCACAGGGCCCAGCAGGTCCAAGCCCAAAGCTGGCTTAACTCAGAGTACACTGGGAAGCCATTGAAGGTTCCTGTGCAGAGGAATGATTTGATGTGGATTAAAGGGGCAGCAGTGGAGACAGAGGACAGATCCAGGATGCATATTGGAGATAGAATCAGTAGGGTTTGCTGCTGGATGGGAAGGGTGGAGAAGGGGAGGGAACGGAGAGACTCAAAGCAGACCCCCCTGAAGCCTGGTGATGGTTGTGTCATTTCCTTGGATGGGGGAGGGGAGACTTGGGAGGAACAGGCTTAGGATGCATGGGAACCAAGAGTTCCAGCTGAGATGCTGAGGTACCTGGAGCCTGGATGGAGGGAGACGCAGGCTGCAGACACAAAGGTGGGAGCAGAGCCTGGGGCATTTAAGTCCGTCGAAACTGATGAGCTCATGGGAATGGGAACGGGGAGAGGGGTGTGTGTCACAGACCAAGTCCCAGGATTGTGTCCACAGAAACCCCAACATTTTGGGCTTCGTAGAAAGGAGCAGTGGCAGGCAGCGGGGACTGAAAAGAGTGGGGTCTCAGTGAGATGGTTTTCTGGTGAGAATGGCCGCCCAGCTCTGCGGAAGCTGAATTCATTGAGACATACTCATTGCATTCTACAAACTAGAGGTAGCTGGTGACTTTTCTAAGAGGAGCTTCCATGGGGGTTGTGAGGTGGGTGGGAACCAGCCCGCAGAGAGGAGCGGAGGCAGTGGAGACCGAACGACCAAGGGACGACCAGTCCACCAAGCACGACTGGTGGGGCTGCCCTCTTGTCTGTTTGATTAGTAGAGAGAAGGCATATGGATGGACCTACAGGCAACAGGAAGGGAGCTAAAGGCTGTGAATTTCCGCCACCTGGGGCATTTCACCATCATCCTCTCTTGCCTTTACCCCAGGCCTACAGCGGAAGGTGTTATCCTGTTACATTGTGTGAGAGTTTGCTCTAGACTAGAGAAAGTGGAAAACAAGGTGGGGATTTGGCGACTTGATTGTTTCAGTTCCTTCTGGATCCAGGAAGGCAGAGATTCCTCTCCCGGAAGAGCCTGGAAAAGGGGCAGCAGTCCAAGGTCTGGGGGAAGACAGGGAGTTGACCCTGGCATCCTCTCTTAGCCGTGAGGCCAGAAGCTTAGACCTGCAAAAGCTTCTAGAAATTCTGTGGTCCTCAAACCGTGGTCCTCCCTTGAAGAAGCAGTATAAGGGCTTGCCCTCAGTTGTGATAAAAAAGAGGATCTTTTCTCAACTCACCAGGAAGATTAAGATAATAGATACAGTCTCTCAATTTTAAGTTTTCTACTAAAATTTGAAAAGACCCATTTACCATGAACCTCTTTTAACACCCACAGAAGTAGAGAGAATAGTATCATGAGCGCCCATGAACATATCACTGAGCTTCAACATTCATCGAAAGCTTTTCTAGAAAAATCTTAAACCTTTGGCCCCCAACCAGTATAGGTAATCAATGAGTATTAACAGAAAAAAACTTTAAAAGTTGATTTGATTTATAAAATATTTTGGGTATGTGCCGCTTGAGCTAGAGAGACCTACAAACACAATATATTTTCTGCTAGTAAGATTGTGCCTCATTCATATACTATAACTGAAGAGGTCTGTAAAGAATTCCATGACTTGCAGTGCAAGTGTTAGAACTGTTGATCCCCGCTATTTTCGGACGAGGGGTCCGGCGCTGCAGAGCTATGTGTTGGCCGCAAGCTCACACAGCACACAGGGAATGGACTGGAATGGGGTTAGAATTCAGGCTTCCCCTACTGCCCCGTGGGGCCTGGCCTCAAGACCACACTTATCCCTCTGGGGCTCTACTAGGGGGGTAGGGGAGGGCTAGCAGCAGGGAACAAGAATATTGGGGAAACATGGGTAGTTTTCAAGATTCCCAAGTGTCTCTTAGACTAAAGAGTAGTAACTGTCACCATCCGGCCCGTTTTCTAAGTGGCTTACCAAGGATAAAGAAATCCTTCCTCCCTTCACAGCCTCATCTTGGTTCTCTGGCATTTGACCCTTTCTTCTGAAACTGCCTCCCAAGGCGTTCCTGCCCTTGTACCTGAGAGTCTTCCCCGTTTCCTCCAACTGTATCTTCTCAGCATCCTCTTCTGCCCCTCATCTGTGGCATCCCCAGATCTCTGCCCCCACCCTCTGCCTGTCTTGAGCCCCTTACCACGTCTGTGCTCTCATAGACCCTATGACCCGCTGCCCTCCCCCTCTGCTCTTTCCCAACCTGCGTCATTTGAAGGTCCAGCCAGCATTTCCTGACCTCAGCATGAGACACCCGCTCTTTAAAAGTTCATGCAGGGCACCGTTATTGAGCTGACACCCAGTACCCCCCATGTCTGAGCACTGTATAAGATCCTGAGGCTGCCGGAAGCCTAGAGGACTCCTAGTTGCCCCGTGATAGGATGAGCGTTCTGGGCACCTCAGGAAGAGCATCACCCGAGGGGCTTAGGCTAATTCCGCCGGGATCATCTACACACCAGCAAGAGGTGGCTTTTGTCTTTTGTAGGATGAACTGGAATTTAGGGAAGAGGAGGAAGGGCATTGCAGGAGGAGGTATACAGCACATGCAAAGGTTCTGAGGCCCAACACAACATGGCCTTTTCAGGACTGGAAGTTTGAGGTGGTGGAGCACAGGGAAAGGGGGCTGAGCGCAGCAGGAAGGAGGCTGGGAAGGTGGGTGGGGCCAAGGCAGGGTCTGAGGGCTTGTCTGAGCTGCTCTGGGGCTCCTGCCAGACCCTGTCTGTACCTGCCCCTTTCCTGGTCCACACGCCCCACCTGTGGGGCCTCCTTTCCCCAAAATGTCTTCCTCAGCTTAATTTCCTTTCCCTTTCCCACCCTTATCAGTCAGTCCTCAGTTATGGGGTGAGGGCTGCTCCTGACTTTTTCGTCCATCCAAGATAACCTACCTCCCCACCTGCTCAAAAAAAAAAAAAAAAATTAAGACTTAGACTATCACAAAAAAGGAAGCTAGCCTGAGGGTGGTGAGCACACAACTACGTATACAGATGTCGTATGATAAAGTTGTACACTTGAAATTTGTATAACGTTATTGACCAATGTCACCCCAATACATTTCATTAAAAAAAAAGAATATCACAAAATGAATGAAATTTAAACTCAGTGGATGAGGAAAATGAGGCATTTCTTCCTTCCCTGAGGTGGAAGTGGGAATTTCTGCTACAGCTGGCAAGTTGTTGTCTCTGCACCTCTTTACGAATCCTTTTAAGGATTAAACTCTGCCTTGATTATGACCAGGTCCTGCTCTAGAACCTGCAATGGCTCCCTGTTGTCTCCCCTATCACATCAGAAACCCTCTGGCTGTGACCTCCACAATCAACCCACCCCACCTCACTACCTTTCTCTAATATGAGAGAACAGTTTCCCCTTTATACTTGCCATGCGCCTCCCTTCCTCCCTGCCTTTGTTCCTGCCATGCTTTTCCCTATCCGTCCTTCAGGGTTGAGGCCTAGAGCTGCTGCCTCTTCCAGGAAGCTTTCCAGGATTTCTCTAGTCTACACTGACCTCTTCCCTTCTTTGCACCCCTGTAGCCCTTACTGATAGTATTGTTGGATTTAGCACTCGATTTCATAGAGTATTTTTCACTATTTGTTTTTATGTGTTAATCATGTCTTCCCCCATTGTGCCGAGCCTGGTATTGGGCAGGGAGAACAGGCCCAGTGAATACCTACCTGTTGGTTAGCTAAGCAGTTGGGAGGCTGGTGAATGTGGGACCCCTTCTCAGGGAGCTTGGCCCTTGGATTTCCACCTTGAGGGCTCACCCCTTCTTTTCCAGGGGTGCTGACAGGTGTATCTGGAGAAGAGCATGGGGCCAGGGGACCTGTGTGGGCAGGCTCCCATGGGCAAGGTGGTATCCGGACTCTTCTCCGCCCTGCGTTCCTGCTGTTCCCACTGGGCCTGCGCTGTGCTTGAGTGGAGGAGAGCCTTCCCTGGCCTGGAAGAGCTGGCCCAGACCAGGTGGTGGTGGTGGGGCAGAGGTGAGGCCATTCATCCTCCCAAAGGAAGGCAAGTCCAGGGCTCCTTTCTACTAATGATGAGAACAAAAGGACCTGAGGAAGTGCTTTAGCGGGGTTAGGAAGGGCGGCTCACAGGTGTTACTTCATTGGTCCTCCACACTGTGAGGCAGAAGGGTGCAGAGGCCGGGTCAAGCAGTGGAAACAATCATCCAGCCAGAAGGGCCGTGGACTCTGTTTGTATCACTGCTGAATGGTTTTTGGACTCAGCCGTAGTCTGGTGATGTTATGGCTCTCTCAGTAATCGCCTCACCCCAGCCCGATTCTAAATTACTTCGAGGCAAGGACACCATGTCTTGCTGAGCTAGGATCTGGTGTCTTTCCCGGTTCCCAACCTGAAGAGAAATACCTAT